CGAGCTCCCACTGCGCCGCCTGCACCGCCGATTCCCCAACCACCACCAGCGGACCCCTCCCAGTCGGAGCCCCGTCTACCGGCTCCGGAGCCGTATTCAGGTGAACCAAACTTTTGTCGAGCCTTCTTAACACGATGCTCAATGCATTTTTCTCTCCAGCCCCGAACCTTCCGTGAGGAACGAACCAAGGTCGCTTTTGTCTTGACGTTACTGACTGGGAGAGCGGCACTATGGGGAACGGCGGTGTGGGAGAACCAGGACGAATGCTGCGCCTCGTTCCAAGCGCTCTCCGCCGAAATGAAACGAGTCTTTGACCGCGCTGTGGCCGGGAGAGAAGCAGCCAGAGTGTTAGCCGACCTGCGTCAAGGAAGGAGATCCGTAGCGGATTTTTCTATCGAGTTCCGGACCCTGGCGGCGGAGAGCCAATGGAACGAGGAGGCGCAGTGGGACATGTTCCTGCATGGGCTGGCTGACCGCGTCCAGAAGGAGATATACGCCATGGACCTTCCCACCAAGCTCAACGACCTAATCGCTTTGGCGCTTAGAGTGGACGCACGGCTGTCCAGAGTGGAACAGCGAGCACAGCTCAACCGCCCTTCGGGAGGATTTGAAGGCCAACGTTCTGGAGGCGGGGACGCGGTCAGCCCCGTCTACGATCCCGAGCCCATGCAGGTGGGTCGAGCCCGGCTTTCCCGGGAGGAGAAGGAAAGGCGGAGATCCCAGGGCCTCTGCATGTACTGTGGAGGAGCTGGACACTTCGCCTACAACTGTCCTTTAAAAGGCCCAGCCCGACAGTAAGTATGAGGCTACTGTCGGGTGGGATCTCCGCCGAGAAGACCTCATCAACATCGACTCTCCTTCCGGTTAGACTCCGATGGTCCAACCACCGTCACGACTGTCACGCACTTCTGGACTCGGGCGCTGAAGGTAACTTCATGGACCACACCTTTGCACTCAACCACCAAGTTCCCCTCAAACCCCTCACCCGTCAGATTGCAGTACACGCCCTCAATGGCCAAGAACTCCCCACTATATCTCTGGTCACTGAAGACATCACCCTCATCACGTCAGGCAACCACTCTGAAACCATCTCCTTTTATATCCTGGACACTCCGCTTGCACCCATTGTTCTTGGCCACCCATGGCTCACTCATCACAACCCCAAAATAGACTGGCAGCTCAAATCAGTAGTGGCGTGGAGCAGTTTTTGTCATAAGTCCTGTCTTGTGTCTGCCTGTCCGTCTGTTTCTGTTCATGTGTTGCAGGAGGAGACAGTGGATTTATCTAACGTGCCCACGGAGTATCGGGACCTGAAGGAGGTGTTCAGTAAGTCTCGGGCTGATTCTCTTCCTCCACACCGTCCCTATGACTGTGCTATAGAGTTATTGCCAGGTACGTCTCCGCCTAAGGGCAAATTATATTCACTCTCTGTCCCAGAGAGAGAGGTCATGGAGAAATACATTTCTGATTCTCTAGCAACGGGATTCATCCGCCCTTCCTCTTCTCCAGCGGGGGCGGGGTTCTTTTTTGTGGGGAAGAAAGATGGATCGTTGCGACCTTGTATTGATTACCGGGGGTTGAACAACATCACGGTAAAGAATACTTATCCTTTGCCGTTGATGTCTTCAGCCTTCGAGAGGTTGCAAGGAGCATCTATCTTCACGAAATTGGATTTAAGAAATGCATATCATTTGGTCCGCATCAGGGAGGGGGATGAGTGGAAAACCGCTTTTAACACCCCTAGGGGGCACTTTGAATATTTGGTTATGCCGTTCGGCCTTTCCAACTCCCCAGCGGTCTTCCAAGCACTTGTCAATGACGTTTTGCGAGACATGGTCGATCAATTCATATATGTCTACCTGGATGATATATTGATTTTTTCATCGTCTCTCCAGGAACACGTGCAACACGTCCGACAAGTGCTTCAGAGGTTGCTAGAGAATGGGCTTTTTGTCAAGGCGGAGAAATGCGTTTTTCATGCACAGTCTGTTCCTTTTCTAGGTCACATCATCTCGGTTGAGGGAATGCGCATGGATCCTGACAAGGTTAAGGCTGTGGTAAATTGGCCAAGTCCAGATTCCCGTAAGGCCCTACTGAGGTTTCTGGGGTTTGCCAATTTTTACCGGCGTTTTATTCGCAATTTCAGCCGACTAGCCGCGCCTCTGACCGCCTTGACCTCCCCCAGAACGACGTTCAGGTGGTCAGACGCAGCAGAAGCTGCGTTTGCCAAACTGAAGGGTTGCTTTGTTTCAGCCCCCATCCTGATAACCCCTGATCCATCACGTCAGTTCGTGGTGGAGGTCGATGCGTCAGAGGTGGGGGTAGGTGCAGTGTTATCCCAGCGCTCTCCTTCAGACGACAAGATGCACCCTTGCGCGTTTTTGTCTCATCGTTTATCCCCTGCCGAAAGCAATTATGACATTGGCAACAGAGAGTTGTTGGCGGTCAAGCTAGCATTGGAGGAGTGGCGCCACTGGTTAGAAGGGTCGGGGGTACCTTTTATCGTCTGGACCGATCACAAAAATTTGGAATACATTCGTACGGCTAAAAGACTTAATTCCAGGCAGGCTCGGTGGGCTCTTTTTTTCGGACGTTTTGACTTTACTCTCTCGTACCGCCCGGGTTCTAAAAACATCAAACCCGATTCTTTATCGCGCATTTTTGACCGTTCCGATCGCCCGTCTACTCCCGAGTGCATTTTACCAGAGACCCTATTTATCTCTACACTCACATGGGAGGTCGAATCGAAGGTCAAGAAGGCCTTAGAAGGGGTAACGCCTCCGACTCGTTGCCCACCGAACCGGTTGTTTGTGCCGGAGAGTTTACGGTCCAGCGTTATTCAGTGGGGACACTGTTCCAATGTGGCTTGTCATCCGGGAGTTAATCGTACTATGTTTTTAGTCAAGCAACGATTCTGGTGGCCTCTCATGGCTCGTGATGTTCACAATTTTGTATTGGCCTGCTCAGTTTGCGCCACGGGTAAAACTTCCAATCGACCTCCAGATGGGTTACTCCAACCGCTGCCGGTACCTTCGAGACCCTGGTCCCATATCGCACTAGATTTTATCACCGCCCTCCCACCCTCCCAGGGTCACACGGTAGTTTTGACCGTGGTGGACCGGTTCTCGAAGGCTGCCCACTTTATTCCCTTGCCCAAATTACCTTCAGCCAAGGAGACAGCGTTGATTGTCGTTGATCACGTCTTTCGGATTCATGGCCTCCCGACAGACGTGGTTTCTGACAGGGGACCCCAATTTGTGTCCAAATTTTGGCGAGAGTTTTGTAAACTTCTGGGGGCGACTGTCAGTCTGTCCTCTGGGTTCCATCCCCAGAGCAATGGTCAAACTGAGCGAGCCAACCAGGATTTGGAGCGAACGTTGCGATGTTTAGTGTCCAAGAATCCTTCCTCTTGGAGTCAGCAACTGTCTATGGTGGAGTACGCCCACAACACATTGCCAGTGTCATCCACGGGCCTATCACCATTTGAGTGTAGCGTAGGTTACCAGCCACCTATTTTTCCTAGTCTGGAATCCGAAGTCGCGGTCCCCTCCGCCCACGCCTTCGTCCAGAGGTGTCACCGCACTTGGACTAGAGCCCGTGAGACTCTACTCCAAGTGGGGGCGCGCACCAAGGCCAAAGCCGATCGCCACCGGCGGAGGCCTCCCGTGTACGTCGTCGGTTCTAAAGTGTGGCTTTCTACCAAGGACATTCCTCTCCGCTCCGTTTCAAATAAGCTCGCACCTAAATTCATTGGCCCGTTTTCTGTCACCAAAATCATTAGTCCAGTGACAGTCCGCCTGAATCTTCCTCCAGTGTACAGGAGGATTCATCCCGTCTTTCATGTATCTAAAATTAAGCCCGTTTTTTTTGCTCGCATTAATCCGCCAGTCCCGGTTCCCCCCCCGCCGCGTCTCGTAGACGGGGAACCCACTTATTCGGTCAATCGTGTTCTGGACTCGAGGCGGAGGGGGCGCGGATTCCAGTACTTGGTGGACTGGGAAGGTTACGGTCCGGAGGAGAGAAGTTGGGTACCGGCTAGAGACATCCTGGATCACTCCCTTATCGATGATTACAATCGGCAGGTAAGGGAGTCTGGGAACGCCAGGAGGCGTTTCTAGGGAAGGGGGTACTGTCACGGTTGGTAAATCCTATGTCTTCTTCTTGTCTCGTGTCTCTGTTGTTGTATGTGTGTGCGCTGATCAGAGGGGCGTGGCCGCTCATCAGCGCTCGTTCAGCAATCACTCATTACCTCATCACCAGCTGCAGTCTATCCATTCCTGTGTATATATTCTCACCAACTTCTCATCTCCATTGTCAGATCGTTGTTTGTGATGTCCGGTTGTGTTGATCCCTCTGCGTTCCAGTCCCGTGCCTTCGTTGTTCCTGTTCGTGTTCCTGTGGTCGTTATCTGGATTCGTCTTGTTTGTTCAGCACTCTCCGTCACCTCACTCACCGGATTCATCTGACCATTGGAGTCCCTGCGCCGCTAGCCTGTTACCACTGGACTCTCTCTTGCTTCATCATTGCTTTGTAATAAATACTGAGTTTTACTTGCATCTTGCTTCCGAGTTTCTATCGTTACAGAGAACTGTTTAAGAGATTATATGCAACACCCTTAAGTTATTCTCTTAGGTAAGGGTAAATCACCCCTTAAGTATCATACTTAAGGGAAAACCTTAAGGTGCTTTATGCAACCGGGCACTGGTATATAGATCCTCTACCACTTAATCCACCCTTAAACCTAACCAATCCACCAACCTATTTCTAACCTTACATTTATCCCACCTCAATAGCAGCAAACGTGTTTTACAATACAATATGAACACAATGAGTAGATTGTACTATTTTGTACCATACTTTTTTACCTCATAGTATTAAAGACAGCTAATATAAAGTGGAACCAAAGTATCTGCTGATACGTTTGGCAGTTCAATAATAAAAAAAGCAGTGGAAAATAATTCTTTCTTTTAATAATCTTCAATAGTAAAGTTCATTCTAACCTCTGCTATAGTGATGACCAGCATAAACCATGGTGGTGGACAGTAGGTGTAACTGTCAAAGTACCATTTGCGGTCCACCTCTCTGGGCAAAGTCTCATAGGCAACATGACGTACGAGTCTCCGAGACAGACCCAAGCCTACTTCCTCTCTCAGTGCCGAATTCCTGAGCTGCCGACTCCCTTGCAGGATCGCTCGACGGAAACTGTTTGAACGTTTGTTGCTCATCTGAAAAATATGACACATACAAACGGAACAATCATGTTTATCCGCATTTTACTATGAATATGCATGGAATCATATATCAGTAACCAAAGATAGTGATGTGATCATGTAACAGTAACCAAAGATAGTAAATCAGTATTGGTATAGTCCTTCAGTCCTGTAAGTTTGCATGTACATTAAGCAAGACTTTTATTGGGAAACCTCCCACTTTTTCGCTGATACAGGTTGTCACAAACTTTTATTTCTCCGGACACTTACTGTGATCCCTAATAATCTTTCTTGATGTTTTTTTTTATGTGACTAGACTAATTCACCTGTTAGTTCATTTAGAAATGTCCATGATGTAATTCGTCTATGATCTGTCTTTTTGTCTTTGACAGTGCATCCCCGTCCCACATCCCACGCCCCCCTTCTCTGCCACAGAAAGAATGCCACTGTTGTCACTTAGCAACCGATTAAATATTCCACACTCATCTCCAAGTCTCAGAGCAGCTGTGTAACAAACAGTGTGTAAGTGATTTTGTGTGTGCGTTTGTGTGCATGAGACAATGCTGTTCAAACAAGCTTTTCACCGCTGAGGCAAAAAGCCTTCCTCAAAAACCTGGAATGTTCTTTTATCCCATGCCAGGCTCCTGATCAGGAATACAGGTCATGCATTATGTAAGTTGTGGACGAGGCCCTGCGTAGGATGAAGAAATTTATCCAGAAAGCCCCTGAAGATGTTTCCTTTGCTGTCACAATGGGATCAAATGAAATAGTTTAAAACATGACTAAGCTGATCTCCAAAGCTTACAGTTTCAGCTTACAGTACAGTTCAGCACAGTTGTTGAGTCAGACCAGAGGGTGACTGTCTGGAATTTATGAGGCAACTCAGTCTGGATCACTGTCGCTAACTGGGCGCCAGTCAGGGCTGCACTCAGTTCCAAACGAGGCATGGAGAGGCATTTTCTGGGAGCCACTCTGGATCTGGCCAGAACAAAGGCAACATGGATGTGGCCTTGATCATCAGTAGTACGCAAATAGGCCACTGAGCCGTATGCTCTTTCTGATGCGTCGCAGAATATGTGGAGTTCCCGGATGGCACTAGGGTAATCAGCACAGGCTGGGGCATAAGGTCGGGGAAATTGCAGCTGAAGGAGATTAGGAATCTCTCGCATCCAAGTTAGCCACTTCTCTCTTAGCTGTAAAGGTGTTATTGGATCGTCCCAGCCCAAATTCTGCTTCCAGAGGTCTTGGATGAGAACTTTGGCCCGGGTAGTAAACGGGATGATATAACCCAGCGGGTTATATCATACTGACTGGCCAAGGTCTTGTACACGTTTCTCATAGTAGGCTCTAGATGCTCGGTTGATCGCAACTTATAGCCTAGTGTGTCACTGAGACAGTCCCACCGTAGGCCCAGAGTGGGTTCTTGTAGGTCTGTACTGGCTTTTGTCAACCACAGTTCACTGTTAGCAGACCGGGCTTCTGCAGGAAGATGTCCGATTACAGAGGGTACATTGCAGGCCCACTGTCTGTTTCACATGCTTCCCACAGTAAAGCTACAAAAACAGTTTACTCTTTTAGATACAGGAATGAAGCCAACTTTGTAAAAAACTAAACTGGGGAATACTGACCTCAGATCCCTACCGGTATAACAGCTCATCACAAATGAGTTTCAAGTTAATGTGCACACAACCAGCTGCAAGCTGTTTCTACTGATGTTACATTAATACCTGTTTGTTTAATAAATATATACAGATGCACACAGGCACAAACAAAACAAAATACACACACTGGCCAGCTTTAAAGAAATAGTTCACCCAAAAATAAATATAAAAAAAATACTATGGAAGTCAATGGGGTCCATTAAATATTTGGTTACTGGCATTCTTCAAAATATCTTCTTTTGGGTTCAGCAGAAGAAAGAAATTCAAACAGATTTGGAACAACTTGGGGGAGAGTAAATGACAGAATTTTCATTTTTGGATGAACTAATCCTTTAATATAGATTACAGTTCAAAAGTTGGAGGTCACTAAGACTGTTTCTGTGAGGGTTTTGTAAGGATAAACCCAATTGCAGACAGTTTGCGAAAACACACAAGGTTTATTTGACAAAAAGGGAAAACAAAACCCACGATGGGGTAAAACAAGACTGAAGGGCAAAAACAAAGACTAACAACACTAGACTAAGACTTGACAGGTACCTAGACAAATAACTAATAACAGCAACAAGATCAGGATTGTACAAGACAGAGTTCTTCACTAGATACTCACGAGAGGGTCAACACACAGGTATGGTATCAGAGGGTACACACACTAAGAATCACACAAGGAAAAGTCAAACCAATATGGGATTTAGACAGTACACACAAACTGTGATATCTGTGCCATGCTCTACTGTTGGGGCACCATGGTACTACATCCAGCTGAAAGACTGTAAGGCTGAAGGAAAGACAGAATTCTCAGAAAAAGATATAATGGAGTGGTGCTCACTGTAATCACTCTTCATCAAAATATAATAGTGAAACATGGATCTTAATGTTTGTATATATAATTCTCAGTCTCCCTCTCACTTTTCTTTCTACCTGTTTTTTCTAAACCCTAAATGACATTTTCGTTCCAATTCTTGCTATTACAATCTGTCTTTCCTCTGATTCTCTGTTCTCACTTTTTTTTTTTTAAATAGTGGACAGTGAATGAGAGCTGTAGGAACAATAGCAGTGTAGAAACACCAACTGCATACTCCTCATTCCTTGCTGTCCCACTTTCACATGACCTGCCACAGCCAATCAAAACACAGAATCTGATCCAATGTTTCACTGCATTGCTTTATAGGACTATAGCTCTATTCTCCAGCCACTGTGGTGGACAATAGACTCTTTGAAGAGTTGCTGTATGTGTGAAAGAAAGACTGAGAGAGAATGGGAAAGAGACAGGGAAAAGGGCAAAGGAGGGTGTGAGACTGAGGGTGGGTGGCATTGAGATTTTCCCACAGATTTGATGGCATTCCCATGCAAGTGGAAATGGAATATTCCATGTTTTGGCTTTTAGTTCAGGGTCAGAAGTTCTTCAAACCTCACCTCAAGTTCATCTGCAGAACTCACCAGGTTAACAAAATCCTGGTAGCAGATCTTTCCGTCAGCATTTCCATCAGCCAGGGCAAGAAGAACCTCCAGCTTGTGAGGGTCCAGTTCTGATCCATAAGCCGCAAGCAGGTCTCGGAAATGCTCAGTGCTGATGAAGCCTGAATTTTCTGGGTCATACTGAACATATGAGAGGAGACAAACAGTAAATTAGAACGCATTCTCATATTCTGATTCTAAAACATTTAAACAACATTCAGTGGTTAACAATATTATAACAGTTAAAACTAATTTCATGTGCCATCACTGAAATCATAACATGATGATATTTATTTCTGAGGAATCCACCCATCATTCCATTTGAAGTCTACCAGCAGAGGGACATTAATGGATTTTAATCTAAGTTAAAATGAATCTGGTAAGACATTAAACATAGCTGGCTTTACAATGCAATATCTGTACAGAGGCAGCATCTGAAGCAACATATGTAGCTGAGGCGTGCTACTACTATAATAATACGCTGATTGAGGCGGCCAAATATGGACTGGATTCCGGTCAGAGAATCAGGGAGCGGAGAGAAGATTCTTCACAGAGATGTTTTATTGTACAGTCTTTGGGTGGTTATCTGGATTAGTTATTCATTGGCAATGATGTCTGTATTAATGGTCTAAAGGAACAATAAAGAAATATAATTAAGATTGTATTCTGAAAATAATTTACACACTGGCATGGTAATAAACAAATACGATAAACATAATACACTGTACCATGGTATGTTACTAATATAAAACACATTGGTTACACAGTTGAGAATACTTCCAATGCTAATACTGATTAGCGGATTTATCTCGCGGCAAATTACGGCCGCTATGGCGCTCCAAACGCGCCGATAACAACCGTAGAACGATCGCGGGACATCAAACACATACATTCAATAAACATACATATGCAGATGTACTTACATCAAGGCATAAACGCATTAAACAAACATAAATTAGCGTGAAGAGGTGAACATTCCCCAAGACAGTCTTCCTGTGTGTTCCACTATAATCGGTCCGTGTGGCAAACAACTCTGATTCCTAGGACAGGCTTTCGTACACAGCCGCCCCCAATTATCTGACTGGAGAATTGAAAACACAGAAAGTCTGTCTACAGTATCTAATGATCCTCCTCAAAAGGCGGAAGTAGAATCAACCTAACAACTGGACGAGTGTAGGATTTCCCATTAACACTGACGCGAGCAGCGCGAACTTTCCCATCAGGTCCAGCCAATGTCTCAGACACCGTGCCCACAGGCCACAAGGCACGAGGAAGCTGGGGATCCACAATGAGAACGACTTCGCCCACAGTTAGCTCTTTACCATCCTTTCTCCACTTCTGCCGCTCCTGTAAACTTGGGAGGTAATCTCTGATAAAGGCAGTCCAGAAATGATCCGCCAACACCTGGCTATGTCTCCATCTGCGTCTTCCGAGCAGGTTGGTAGAGTCGAAAAAGACTTGAGGTAGGGAGGCATCACGACGGCCCATAAGGAGTAGGTTTGGCGTCACTGGGTCAACGTCTGCTACATCGGAGGATACATAGCCGAGAGGCTTGGCATTTAGAATACCCTCAACCTCCGCTAACAACGTCCGCAGCACTGGCTCTGGGACCGTTTGCTCTCGCAGAATAACCCGTAGTGCAGTCTTTACAGATTTAACTTCACGCTCCCAGGTTCCTCCGAAATGAGGAGCATTAGGTGGAATGTGGCGGAATCTGATCTTCTGTGGAGCAAGCAGCTCCTGAAGCTTGGGTGCCATGGCATCAAAAGTGTCACGCAGTTCGCGGTCTCCTCCTACAAAGTTGGTGCCGTTGTCACATAGCAATTCCATGGGCTTACCTCGTCTTGCTATAAAGCGACGCAAAGAGAGCAGGAATGCATCAGTGTCAAGGTGCTCCAACAGATCTAGGTGCACACATCGGGTTGTCATGCACTTATAAACGATACCCCATCTTTTTTCATGGCGACGACCAATCTTGACTGAAAGGGGGCCGAAACAATCCACTCCAGTAAAATAGAACGGTGGTTGGTGAAGTTGCAGCCTGCAGGATGGAAGATCGGCCATTTGGGGAACTTCAGGCTTGGCTCGCCAGAACTGACAATCTGGGCATTTGCGTTGATGCTTACGGACGGCTTCCCGACCCCGAAGTATCCAATATTGGCGACGCAATTCCGCTAGCACCCTTTCAGAACCAGGATGCAGAAGTCGGCTGTCCATTTCTTTAATTAACAGCTTCGTTGTAGAATGACCAGGGTCTAACAGTATAGGGTGAATAGCATCAAGGTCAAGGTCAATAGCTCTACGTAACCGTCCCCCTACTCTGATAAGACCTGTGTCTTTATCGTACTCTGGTGCAAGGGATGCCAAGCGGCTGGTAGCTGGAATCGGCTGTCCAGTCTTCAAAGCTTGAACTTCTAGTGGGAATGAGTCCTGTTGAGCTTGGGCCAGAATAAGCTTCTCTGCTTCTACATAGTCATCAGCTTGCAGTGAAGAGTCACTGTTTGCAGCAGCCGCCCCGTGTAGGGACCTGACAGTGGCCTCAATAAGCTCTAGCCATGTGCGAAATTGATCGGGGTCTACATGTAACTGATTGGTAACTTTGACAGTGCCGATGAATGCAGTTTTCCTCAACTCGCTGATCTCAGATTCTACCTTAGTGACGGGTGTAGATGGCCACTGATCAGAAGGTAGAAGGAGGAAGTCGGGTCCTGAACTCCACGGGTGAGGTCCTGCTATCTGGGTCAGTGTCAGGCCTCTTGTGATGTGGTCAGCAGGATTTTGAGCTGAATCAACATACCGCCATTCAGCCGTGTCTGTAAGGGTCTGGATTTCTGCTATGCGCGTCCCTACAAATACCTTGTAGCGACAGGACTCAGAGGTTAGCCAGTTCAGCACAGTTGTTGAGTCAGACCAGAGGGTGACTGTCTGGAATTTATGAGGCAACTCAGTCTGGATCACTGTCGCTAACTGGGCGCCAGTCAGGGCTGCACTCAGTTCCAAACGAGGCATGGAGAGGCATTTTCTGGGAGCCACTCTGGATCTGGCCAGAACAAAGGCAACATGGATGTGGCCTTGATCATCAGTAGTACGCAAATAGGCCACTGAGCCGTATGCTCTTTCTGATGCGTCGCAGAATATGTGGAGTTCCCGGATGGCACTAGGGTAATCAGCACAGGCTGGGGCATAAGGTCGGGGAAATTGCAGCTGAAGGAGATTAGGAATCTCTCGCATCCAAGTTAGCCACTTCTCTCTTAGCTGTAAAGGTGTTATTGGATCGTCCCAGCCCAAATTCTGCTTCCAGAGGTCTTGGATGAGAACTTTGGCCCGGGTAGTAAACGGGATGATATAACCCAGCGGGTCATACTGACTGGCCAAGGTCTTGTACACGTTTCTCATAGTAGGCTCTAGATGCTCGGTTGATCGCAACTTATAGCCTAGTGTGTCACTGAGACAGTCCCACCGTAGGCCCAGAGTGGGTTCTTGTAGGTCTGTACTGGCTTTTGTCAACCACAGTTCACTGTTAGCAGACCGGGCTTCTGCAGGAAGATGTCCGATTACAGAGGGTACATTGCAGGCCCACTGTCTGAGGTCGAAGCCTCCCTCAGACAGTAATTGACGAAGTCCATCAACTACCTCCTTAGCTTCACCAGAGTTCGAAGTGCTGTGCAAGCAGTTATCAACATAGAAGGAATTCTCAACTATGTTAACCAGACTGACCTGGTCGTTCTGGTGGTCTTGGGCACTGCGCTGGAGGGCGTAAATGGCGCAACACGGGCTGCATGTAGTTCCGAACGGAAGCACTTGCCATTCATATATCTCAGGCTCCTGGTCTCTGCACATGTCCCTCCAAAGAAACCGCAACACTGGCTTGTCCTTGGGCAACAAGCGTACCTGATGGAACATAGCTTTTATGTCCCCACTCATGGCTACTGTGTGTTGTCGGAACCTCAGAAGCACACCTAACAAAGAGGATCCCAGCATCGGACCAGGAAGCAGCTGACTGTTCAAGGACTGGCCCTGATGTTGGAATGAACAGTTAAAGACGATCCTGTTCTTTCCATTGTGTTGTACGATATGGTGTGGAATGAACCAGGACTCCGAGGTATTGTCTGCTTCTTCTGCAGTTATCTTGGCTACATATCCAGCAGATTCCAACTTGCGGATTTCAGTGCAGTAGGCTTTTGCTAATTCAGGATCTCGTGCCAGTCTGCGCTCGGTACTTCGATGACTAGGAAGAACAGCACTCTTGTCTGTATGGAAAATGGGCATGGGCATGCGTCGGAGCAATGGTGTGGCATAACGTTGAATGCCATCTACGTTCACACTGGTTGTGGCGTTCTGGAGCATAGCGAGAGAGTCTTTGTCCTGCTTGGACCTGGTGACCATCTTCTCATTGTATGGGAAGGTGTCGACTTGCCAGAGACGTTCGACGTGCCGAATCAGATCATCCTGAAGCGGAGTGGTGGTGATATGAAGGCACTGCTGATAACACCGTGAGGGCTGCTTGGGGCTCATGGGACCCTGAAGAGACCATCCCAGCTGTGTTCTGATGGCTATTGGACCTCCGTCTGGTCCTCTGCATGCAGGCTGTATCGGCATTAAGAGGTGCGGCATGTCAGAACCAATAAGGAGTAGTGGTTTGACTCTGTCAACAGGGGGAAGAGGAAGATCTCTCAGATGACGATAAGCTCGTTGGAGCGCAGCCACTGGATAGTTATGTTCCGCAAGACTCAAACCAGTCGCAGTAAAGGCATTGGGGATAGTGAACCTCTGCATGGGTTTGGTGACTGCTGAGACCTCGAAGGAAACGGACGAACCTTCGAGTTCTGTGTGAGATTGCTGAACAGTCTGTAAATGAAGTAACTCTGGGGTACAGGTAAGCTTGAGCTGCTGCACGACTGGGGAAAGCACGAGTGTTCTCTCTGACCCATCGTCAAGAACTGCATGTGCCTCCATTGTGTGGTGTCCATTGTGAAGGAGGACCTTGATGACCTTCAGCATGACTCTGGGTGTACGGTTCGGTCTGTCCAAGTAAACCCGGGTCGATGGGAGGCTGACGGTGAGGACAGCACTGGTAGTGTCTTTGATGGAATCGTGAAGAACTGTGAGATGTAGCTCTTTACAGATTCTACATGGACGTT